AGCAAGGGTATGAATCATGACAGCGCGGGATAAGTTCTAAATATAGCAGTTATTTGATTTCACGTGATCCTTACTTTAGAAGATTGGGAACTAAGATTTAACACATGGCCCACGTGCACAGAAAACAAATCATTTATAAGCCAGTCAATATCATGTGATATTTAGATAATTACTTAGTTCTGTTTCAAAACAAACATTAGATAGACTAGGCGGGACATAATAAAATCCATTCATCTTTCGTCCACATTTCACAATCTGTTACATAACCTATACTAGACTGGGTGGGCTGACTTAATCTGACAAATTAATGCAAACAATGTGCTGCCCTCAACAATATAAACAGATTAAATGACAACAAGAAATAATTCAAGCATTTAACTTAACGTGATTTAGCATGAAAACCAACACCAGATGCCAATTTTCGTGTTTACTTCTTCAAATAGTGTAAATAACTTGGTGTTGAATTTCCACTTTGTTCCAATTCTTCACCCCTGCTTGGTTTATTTACGACAGAATGGACAAATACCTTAGTACTGATACTGGAGATTTAACAGTAAATATGTACCATTATGATTTGTATGAAGTTAGGTGTCAGTTTAGATATAATCGTATTCCACTGTTTCTTAAGTAGTTTAATATTCGTATAGACGAGGGATGTATATTGATCCAAAATCGGATTATCTACCGTTCTGGAGAAACCTTTGTAAACAGCCTCCAGACGGAAGATTTTTATCTTTAAAGCTGTGTTCACGAATGGAAAACCATATTTGTCAACATTTCGGGGTGGCAAATTGGGCCGATTATCATCTGATTTCTTTTACAGAAACTATTGATTGCGCCGGTTAATACAACTACATGTAGTTTATTATATATAACTAATGCGCCAGATTTGTCCTTCCTTTAGCCAAGAATTTGCCTGATATTTTTCTTTCCAAGTTTGTCCTTCTAATGTCTATATGTACACAATATAGTGAATTCTTTTGCCGAAGTACTACACTGCCCTAGCTGTGCAATGATGTTTAGCCTGCCAACAATGAAGTATTTCTTAAAATTAAGGAAATGGAATGCTTTAATGTACAATATGTTCAATCAAAAATATTCTAAATGGACAAAATTACCATATTATAACTAAATATTGGTCTAAAAATTTGATGCTTTATTTTATAAAGAAAATATGCACGAACAAAAGTAATATATGGTGATGCCGAGGAAATTCGGACTTACGTTTAATTCTTAGCTCACCTAAGCTAAAGACTCAAGTGAGCATTTCTAATCAAAATTTGTCCGTTGTCTGTCGTTGTTGTCGTTATCGTCGTTGTTGTCATTGTCGTTTTCGTAAACTTTTCACAATATCATCTTCTTCTCCAGAACTACTGGGCCAGTTTCAACCTAACTCGGTACATAGTATCCTTGGGTAAAAGGGATTCAAGTTTCTTCAAATGAAAGGCCACACTTTCTTCCAAGGGGTGATGATTATGAATTAGTGAGAAAATTATGGCATCTTTTAAAATCTTCTTCTCAAGAACCACTGGGTTAGAAAATATGAAACTTATGTGGAAGCATCCTCAGGTAGTGTAGATTCAAGTTTTTGCAAATCATGACCCACGGGGGTAGGGTTGGGGCCACAATGGGTGATCAAAGTTTTACATAGGAATCCATAGAAAAAATCTTCTTCTCAAGAACAGCTAAGACATGATTAGTTATAATGATTTGGAAGCATCCTTAGATAGTGTAGAATCAAGTTTGTTCAAATCATGACCCTCGGAGGTAGGGTGGGCCCACAATGGGTGATCAAAGATTTACATAGGAATACACATAGGAAAAATCTTTAAAAATCTTCCTCTCAAGAACAGCAAAACCATGATTGGTCATATTTATATGGAAAACATCCTCAGGTAATGGATTCAAATTTGTTAAAATCTTGACCCCCGGGGTAGGGTGGGGCCACAATGGGCAATCAAAGTTTTGCACTGGAATACATAGGAAAAATCTTTGAAAACCTTCTTCTCAAGAACAGCAAAGTCATGATTAGTCATATTAATTTAGAAGCATCCTCGGGTATTGTAGATTCAAATTTATTCAAATCATTGCCCCCGGCGGTAGAGAGGGGCCACAACAGGGGATCAAAGTTATACAAAGGAATATAAAGGATATATCAATAAAAATTTTCTTCTCAATTACAGCAAGGCCACGATAAACCATATTAATTCACAAGCATCTTCAGGTAGTGTAGATTCATGTGTGTTCAAATCATATCACCGAGGGCAGGGTAAGGCCACAAAAGAATATCAAACGTATAGGAAAAATTATTTAAAAATCTACTTAATAGGCTATGATAAGTCAAAGAAATATGGGAGCATCCACGGGCCTCACTTCACTTACAAAGAGAGAGAACTCCCAAAACTGAAACCTGTATGAAATCAGATTTTCAAATTGAGAAAATGTCACTTTTGGAGAGTTCAGAGAATTAAATGATCTGATCTCTGTACCTCTGAAAATTTAGGGAGATGGATTTCATTATCTTTAAGAATGTGCATTTTTTGAAAAGAACTTAATTATATACAAACTTTTTTTATATGAAGCCTAATGTTCTCGAATTTCACTGTATTGTGATGACACTGAAGTCATTTTTATGGACTTAAAAAATTCTGGAAGATTTTATTGTCAACAATTAATCAACAAAAATATGGGTTTTATTTCAGATTATTCACACGTGCATGGTATGTAAGCTCCTACAGTGATGACTGTAAGATATTCTTGGTCCGCCCTCCTCTGGAGATTTAGAACAGACATTTTATATGGACATCATATGCAACATTCACGTACATGTACTTTACAATGTACCTTTCCCACTGATAATTTTCCAAGATATTCTTAAATTAAAATCATATTACCATCCGATGTTCCTAGACAACAAAAATTACATTACCAGGGAGATTTTAAGAGATACCAAATGATGAAAATCCTTGTGTTTTTAAAAGAAAAATTGACAAAAATATAGTTTTAGCTACTATTTCCTCAAAAATTATTTCATAATAATTGTTCCCAGGCATCATAAAATACACTGTAGCATTAAAGTCCTTTAATTATTGGAACTCTTAAATTATAAATGGAATATTAAGAAAATAAAGTTCAAAACTACGTTGCGTATGTCTATAAACTTTAAAATATATGCTAAGGTAGTGATGATGGACTTTATTGTCTGACGTCATGGCGTCAGACAGTATTAGATTTAGCCAAGGCTTGTTGGTCAAGTCGTTCAATAGAATTCTTGTGATAACTTGATCTTGGAAACTTCATACTATCTAAACTATTAATTGGCGAGCATGTGGAGTAAAGGAAACATGCTAAACACCCAAACAAGCCAGAATATTGGAGCCAATGCCATTATTATCACATTATACATTACAGGTTACATAACATTTGGCCATTCTCGGAAATTGCATCATTCATGATGCCCAAGTTTCTGAATTGAACTTTTCTTGTTTCTTAGTGCTAATTCATTTCATGACTCAGAGTCATGTTGGTTACACTGGATTTAACTTTTCTTGATTCTTCGGGTAAAAATAAATTTGCTCAAGTCAGACAAGCTTTTTAGGAAAGCTAATACTAGTCATATAATTATATTCTGATCATTATAGCTATCATTGATTTATTGATATTAATGACCGTGGAATGACAGTATAACAAACCAAGATTAAACTCTCTGTACCCTAGCAGTGACTGGATAAATTGGGGGGAAAATCCAAGAGCAATAATGGTTCAGATGGAAAACATTGAAACATGATGTTCATACTGATAGAGTGAAATATATAGTTTGTTTAAATATTGTTTTGTTATAGAATCGAATAGAATAGAGCAATAAAACATTTCGATAAAAAGTAAGTAATAAAATTTGAAAGAAATTAAGGTTGTTAAGAATAAGCGATAAAACTGAGATAAGTAATATAGAGCTCAAGACCAGAGACCTCCTCATGGGCTGGGGGACTAGGCACATCAATGTCACGATCGTGGGGTAATTTGATTGGAGTGTTGTGCCCACAGGCACTAGTTTCTGTAATATATTTACCCCATATAGTATAATAACAACGTGTTATAATTATATTATGGAGTAAAAAATTTATTAGAGGACTTATAACTTTATTAAGCTTACAATCCTTTTTGGACTTGATGATATGTCTATTTACAAGCTATTAGATCACGATCGATGGGTACAGAAAGAATACGCGATCTCATGAACGCTAAGCGTTGAGTTTTGTCATCCTCATCAGCAGCACTCATATAACTATGCCCCTAACGGTGGAGCGATAATATTTGTGGCCGCATATTGTCGCCGGTGACAATATTTTACAAAGTATTCGCAGATGGAAGACAATATGTGCAATTAGGGTAAGTGCATATTGTTGCCGATGGACGACAATATGCACAGGACAAGTTTATGTATTGTTTTAAAGCTTCTGAGCTTCGTAAAATAAAAATAAATGAAAAGTACGAATCTTTGACAATGATCACCTATAATCCCTCTAATTAAATGCTATATATAAGTGGACGTGAATTTAAATAATTAACCGAGCTACCTGGCCACGTGCCCTATTTTTAATCACCTTTTTAAGATCAAGTCTTTATTGTAAAAAAATACACGATGTTTTTTTGTTGCATGGAGACTTAGTCATACAAACGGTACTCGACTTATTATTGTGGAATTTTAAATAACTTCTTTTTTTTTACCTGATCTGATGTAGAAATATCAGATTAAACTCACTATTGAGATATGTGTATTTTTAAATTAATATATACATAACATACATGCCAATTTGTAAACGTCAACATAACAACATCAATGAAAATAAGTAACAATGTTTAAATTTAAATATGTAACACCTGGTTAACATGAATAAAGAACAGGTTCAAAACATGCTTTTTGAATGCGGAATTGGCACACCGGTGTAACTCTTTGAATATAAACATATAACACAAGACTAAATGTATTTGGTATTAGATTAAACCATGTCCAGGGAATGGTCCACCTCATCTACATCGTCTATATCAAATACATGCGCCATCCTCCCGATCCGACGCCATTGGTTTTGTTTCGTGAGATTGTAATTATTATCTGTAGGCATATAAGGAGGAGACTCCGCCAAAAAGTCATTCTCTGGCACCGGATCGGCAGCAAAGGACGATTCCTTCTGTCGGCTATTCCCCGCCGTCTCATTGAAAACTACAGCGGTAGGTAACGCTGCAGCAGCCGGTGTTGGCGCTTTTTCTACTAAATTGACGTCGCGTGCGGTGATCGCAGACTGTATCGTATTGGTGGGGGAGGAGGGCATGTTTTTTGGAAGCGGCTCAACTACTGCTTTCTGTGTTGTTTTGCTCGGTCCAGCGTCAGTTTTTCCCTCTTCTGTTTTCGGTTTCAGTTTACTTAATAGCCCACCAGTAGCGCCACCTGTACCATTCTTATTTTTGACTTTCCTCAGCCACTTATTGGCAGCCATATGTGTACTGAGGGTTGCATCTAATTTCTTCTTTCCTGGGGTCTTGAACATGGCTTTGTCCAGTTTGTCCATGAAATTTGAAACGGATTTCCGGGCTGTGTTGGCTTTTTCTATGACTTTTTCTGGCATCGTTTCTTTATAACCCTCTCGATACTTCCGATTATGTGCAAGATAAATGATGGGTTTAGTGCAGTAACTGACCATAAAAAAGATAACAGTAATGCTGTAATATCCGCCCCAGATGTCGCCAGAATCGGCGAAGTCAGCGATGTTGATGGCAAAGTATGGACAGTGACAGACCAACATCGCCACCCACACGATCAGATAGGTCACGAACATGTGGAGGTCAGGGTCACCGTTGTCTTCCTTCAGAGAAAAGATTTTCGTAACCTTCGTTTTAGTTACGGCTTTCTTTATCTTTTTACGAGCAGCCATCAGCGCCAGTTTATTTCTCGGTGGTTTTCCTTCCCCATTTGTTGATGCGCCGATACCCGTCGTGGACATGGATTTTCCAGGAGCCTCGTTTGAGCGGGAATTTTTTGCTTTAGTTTGTGAGAGAAGTGAGCCGAATCCTTTACCGCCTCCGTTCAGCTTTGCTTTCTCTCCCGGTTCCTCTTTGATTGAGGTGACGCTGTTCTTCTTGACGTTTGCTTCTTGTGCAGCTGCCTGCTTTTTGTGCTTAAAGATCTTTACAACTGTAACGATACATATTATAATTGAAGCTACCATTCCAAACATCAGGACAATAATAGTGTAATAGATATTATCATCCAAATTAATTACACAAGCTGCATGATAAAAATTGTATGAAATCGTAAGCCATGGTGTTAGAGCTACTCCAGTGATGAGCGCAGTGAAGGTCCATACAAGGGCAGAAATTAGTGTTACAACGCGAGAAGAATTAAACACTTTGACGTACAGATCTGTATTAGTGATCTTCACCATTCTCTCAACGAACATCACTGAAAGTAATCCAAATGTCACTAAATGAAACCAGATGATGAGTCCAGCGTGAACATAACAGAAATAATCAGTGAGGTACCAGGCCTTCGCAAAGGCCGCCACCATAGACGGAAACAGAATAAGGAACACCGCTATAAGATCCATCACAGAGAGTTCCAAAACGAAGCGGTTACAGGGAAACCTTAACATGTTCCTCTTCCTCAGGGTGATGATGAGGAGGATGTTGAGGATGAGTGCGACGATAATAACGATGACGATGACAGTGCCCAGTAAGTAGGGCAACACCTCGTCCTGGAACCATTGAAAGAATGACCCCCCGAAAGAGCTAACGATTGAGGAGGACATCTTTCAGCAGGAAATATGCAATCTTGGATGTCTCCTTCCTACATGTCAGCTAAAGGTACGTGAAATGCACATATAGATTATATGTGCTTTTTGTTCACCTTGATTTCGCTAGCAGAATGAAAACCATGTACTGATTTAAAAAATATTCTGTTTCATTTATAAATCTTTAATCTTGGTCATAATCAGCTAACAATGTTCACCTGATTAAGGTTAATATTTAATCATAAATCTCTTTAATAATTTCTTTTGTCCCTCATATAAAAAAGGCAGGTCAAGGATTCCTTTTAAAACCTTTTCTGGGATTTTGCATTCCGACACCAGCAATAAACTCATTTCTGAATGATGGGTGTTCTGGAGTCGTCTCCCATTTTCAAAAATATCAGTCCGTCAACCCTTCTTGCAGTTTTCGATAATACCCGCTTTGCTCTTGCTACTCGTGTTTTCAAACTTTCTGGTACCCCATCTGATGTGGCTTTTCTGAACAAATGGTTATGAGACATAAACACAATAGGCTTTATACAGTAGCTAACATCACAAACAATCACGAGGACAGAATACACCCCGCCCCAGACGGAAACAACGTCATACACGTCCAAGTACCAAACAATCACGTAGGGAAGCCATAGCATAATTACAATAACCCAGATTAACATGTACGTGGCGGCGAGATGGAAGTCCACCTGTTCCTGTGACCTTTTGTAAACTGTGACAGCTACTCGCTTGGATTCAAAAGTCGTCTCGTCTCCCGTGACGCCGTCTTTTATCAACTTATTCTTCATCTCGTTCTCGGAGCGAGTCGTCCGTGACCCGGAGACTTCGGTTACCGGGGAAACGGAATTTCTGGAGCGAGGTCGCTCAGTTTCTTCGTTGACTACTATAATGCTGTTCTTTGAATTTGGCCGTTCGGGATAAAGGGAGTTGTCTGTTGGCGTTTCTCGACTTGTTTGTGGAACCACGGGAGATGTTGCGTTTCTTACTTCTATCTCAGTGGACGTTAACACTCTGTTTACATTTTCTACTTCTGGCAGACATTGTGTCTGATCTCCGACGATTTCACCAAGTTTTATTTTCTCTGTTACCCCGCCCGCCCGGGTCTGTCGTCTGACTTTTACATTGACGTTATTAACGTAGGACGTCAGGGACTTCAGACTTGTTAAAAGTTCTTTTCGTTGTAGAAATGTACCAATACTGAATAAAAATGACATAAAAGCAGGAAGAAACATCCCAAAGATAAAAATTAGATTCATGTTGATTTTGTTTTTATCGTGGTTGATGTTGCATCTGTTCTGTGAGGATATATACTCGAGTTTCCCCCATCCTGCTACTGGTAGAATACTTCCGATAAACGTCACTACCCACGTCACAATACTGGTAATGATGCAGATACATTTATTTCCGAAGAAACCGTCATGAACACTTGGGTTGTTTAATTTTACCATTCTTTCTGCGCAAAGGAAAGTTAAAAAGATGAATAAACATACGAAACAAGTCGTTCCAATCGCGCCAGATATTTGACAAAGTGCTTCTGACAAAACCCAGTCTTTCGCGAATGACGTAATAATGGCAGGAAAAATAACAAACACATAAGCCACAAAATCTAGCACCACCAACTGTAGAAACAGATGGGTACATAGTGCTGTCACCCGCTTCTTTCGTACCGCATGAATTGTCAGCCCATTTAAGACAACTCCACACATAAATATACAGAGAAGAAGAGTTCCGGAAATAATCGGCAGGACGTCTTTTTCCAGCCATCGTAAGTACGGTCCACTAAAGGCTTCCACAGTGTCCGCAAGACTTGAAGAATTCGACATTTTCCTCTCTCAGTAAAAAATAACAAGTGTAGGAACTGTCTACATTTTAATGTCTTTGAATATGTATTCATAACTGAAATTTTAATTTCTTTCATAGGAGATAATACGTTACATAAACATTCTTTGTTCATTTAAAAGGAACAAGTAGATCTGTCAATATTTAGAATTACCCTGGAATAAAATGCTAAAGTTATACATTAAGTGTGAAAAATTTTCCTCAAAATTTGTCGAGACTGTTGAATACTTTATTAGTCCTAGCAAGAACGATTGTTTTGTTAAAGGTACGAGTATATCCTAAGTTTTAAGAATTATTGATCTTAAGGTTATTGAGATATGAGTATACAAAATAATTCTTTCAGCAAATTTGAGAAAATGGATAACAAGGAAGTGAAGGCTTTTGTTGGTACAAAAACTTAATTTCTCTTTCTAAATCTCTCTTCTGGTTCTCCTATGAAGCGATCTATGCATTGTATCGTGTGGTACTCCTTGGCAGTGATCGATCATTCCAGAATTCAAGTTCGGCGGCGTTGATAGTACCGAGCGATCTCGACTTATAGTCTAATATATAGGATCCTCTATCATTCCTACACAAAGGTTCAGAATGGCGCTTAAAGTCCGGATCACTACTGTATTTCTGGCTTGTTCTGTGATATTGGATGCCCAAATCGAAACAGTCGGTGATCGAATTAGTAGAAAAGAGAGTTGGTTTGGAAACTGTATACCTGATCTCTTGTTTTTTCAAAGAAAATGAGCGTTTTCTCTTAAACATAAATAATCGCAGAATGATTAAAACTATTATTAAAATCAGCATAAAACCAACAACAATTGGACTGTACGTTGAGACCCCATGAATCGAGATTGTCCCAGCGTCTACAGAGCTGCTCTCTACAGCTGTGGGCGTTTCTTTGCTGCGAGTTAACAATGAAGTTATAGTGTTGTTATATTCAGATAAAGCAATATAGGATTTTATTCTGGTTTCTGTGTGATTCTTTATGTTATATTGCTTTATATCTGCAGCCGTAGTCTGGACAACCCTCGAGCTGGTCAGTCTTCGGTCTCCGTCCTGTTTTGGTACCGTGGTGTTGTTTCTGTTTGGGAGGGGTGTCGTGGTGTGGTGTCTGTTTGGGAGGGGTGTCGTGGTGTAGTTTCTGGTTGGGAGGAGTGTAGTTCCATTTACGTCAATTGTTTCATTATAAACTGGATTTTCACCTAAAATCCAGGCAAAACAAAATAAAAATCAAAACAATTTCAAACGTAATCGAAAGCGGGATGTGTCCATTAATTAAGTCAGTTACAAGGTTAACAAAGTTTCTTCAAGATTTAACTGAAATTCGCCGAGAAGCGGCAAATTGAATGAAACCGATATTAGATAATTTATTGCATTTTAACAGAAAATGCACCAACATGTTTACCTTGATTGAATCCCAGTCTATAAAGAAGTGATGCATTGACGACCAGAAGTACTGAGGGAATAGACGGCATACAAACTTTGTCCGTGTCGTTCATTTGTCGGCGACACTCGTCCACTTCAAGGCTTGAGGAGTTGAATAGATTCTTTAGGCAGTTGGAACACATAACACAGCTGTGTGAGGATCGCAGTCGGAAAAAACCTAGAGTAAAAACACCAGTGTAGTCACAAATAGATTTATCTATATCAGTGTTTTTTATCGTGATATATTACCAATATTGAGTTTACAGAATACCTTTCGAACAATCCCCACACTCGCTATCGTGAGTAGCATTGCATGCTTGTATTGTTTCCTCATTCGGACCACAGCGTCGACATCTCTTGCAGAATCCGATGTTGTGATTATTTATGTCCATGAAGGTACCTTGAGCGCAGGACACACATACACTTTGGTTGGTGGAGGACCTTTCATAGTAAGTACCTTGGGGGCACTTGTTACACATGACATCATTAATATTATCAGCTGAACAAGGAGCGCAAATGGTATCATGGCGTCTTGTGCACTTCCGTTTGACGTAATATCCGAGCGGACACGTGGAGCATGATTTACAGTGTGTGTCTCTGTGTCCTCTACATTTTTTATATAAGTAAGTTTTACCTTTTATGCACTTACGACATCGTTTACAATGGGTATTTCTACTTTTTGAACACTTCCTGGCAATAAAATGATGCCCTTTGCATTGTTTACATGTCTTACAGACCGTATTTTCGGTGGCCGAACAGCTAATTTTTGTAAATTGATTCTTCCTACAAGTTGAGCAGGTCTTACAGGTCCGCAGTGTTCTGACATCTTGACAGAAACTGGAACAGTTGATGTTTGTATCATTCATGCATTCCAACTGATCAGAATTCACCGAACACTGTCTACATTTCTGACACAACTTCTCAAGACGAGTCATCCTATAAAATGTTCCGCTAGGACATTGCTCACATTCTGTGTCTGTGACGTTGCTACACAATGACATCTCCCTGAATCCATTTGGACACTCTCGGCAGGGTACGCATTGGTATCCCATTGAGTTCCCGAACTGCCTCCGAAATTCATTAAATCCACACTGAGACATAACGGTGCAAATCTATAATAAAAATTATTTTATTCAGCATATACAAGAACTCTGGTCTTCATCCCGAGTTTTTTTTTTAGACCAATAAGCTACATGTAGGCATGTTATTATAAGTACATAGGTATTGCTGATGATAGTTTCCTTTAAATCCTTGTACCAGATAACAATAGTGTAGTCATATACGTGATAGTTCTTTATTTATTTATTTATTTTTTTTTTTTTTTTTGTAATCTGTTACTTACCACGAGGTTTGCTTTCAGTAAAAAAGTCAATGGTGAGATTTGGTAGATATTCGTGAACTCCATAGCAAAGCATGGCGAATCGAAAATACGACAATGTCAGTGTTATTATGGATTTTCCAGTCGACTCAAAAATGAACTATTTTTATCATTTCCGCTTTTGTTATAGAGTGTGTGTGTGTGTGTTAAATATAGTACAATGTTTTCAAGAAATCAACTCGTTTAAATATAGAACAAGGGTGTTTTAATTAGAGTTTCACTGTGTAGCTTCACATTGCATTTTTGTAAAAAGCGGAGCAGACGCAAATGTATATCTACAAAAGGTTCTCTTTGTTTATAAGATATAAATTCATTTGTTTTGCAAATTTTTTAGGTTAATTAATGTGAAATTAAAATTTGTGTAATTCATAAAACATTGCATATACGTAAAATACTAAAAGAGATTTATTACCGAATAAACCCAACACGTTGCCAAAGTTTGAACGATCCCGGATCTGCACACAGTGTATGTGTAGTTATAAGTATTTGATGAAGTGCACTTGTTTTCCCTCAAAACAAACACACAACAGAATCTCCTTGTGTTGTAAATCATTTCAAGTGAGAGTGGTTATAAAATAATACATAACTGCTGCAAACAGTATGATTTAGTATTCATTTAAAAAGCACAGCTTTCATTGTAATGAAAGTCTTTAAAATAAAAACATGAAAGTAAAAACTCGCTTTTCTTTATCAGACATAATGCAAAAATGCATGACTTTTTGATATTATTAATTGACGGATATATATTTCCTTATCTGTTAAAATAACTATACATTTTTATGTTGACGTTGTCGACCATACTGGATAATTTTTAGGATCGTTTCAAAATACATAATATTAAACCACATATACTGTAGTTTTGTATACGTATAAGGTAAAAATTCATTACCGATCCCATAAATTTCCTTTATCTTTTTAAATTCAAAATAGGCTATTATATATTTATTTGAAAAAAAAACAAACAAACAAAAAGAAAGAAATAATTCTTATTTGAAATAATTTTTTTTATGTTAATGAAGCAAGTTCCATAATAAACTATACATACATTATTCTGAGCTGGAAAAGTTTTGTTAAGAACTTTGGTTTTTCTTTTAATATAATTATTATTGGAATCAATTCAGTGATTATCTTATAATTTAATTTTGTTTGTATTCTACCCTCTGATTGGTTAATATCCAAAAAGGAACACAAATTATTTCTGTATAACCTGGTTTGGTATGGGGACACACCCCCTGACAACCAGCTGAATCATCTGTATGCATACAATCCTCTCATTTCCAGTCCTCGGGATTCATGGAAAATTCCAGATTTAATAAATATACCTTTAACTTCAAACAATAATTCGATCTTACCACATGTAAACAAGCTGCTAGGCCTATGTATCAGTTTTTACCTCCCCTCGCTTCCCATCACTTCCGTTACTTCCGTTACTACGGTTGTATTATTGAGCGGCAAATTTGAACTAATAAAAACCAACGAAATTTTACACCCATAGTTATTTAATGATTTTAAAATTAAATTATAAGGAATGACTCTAATTCTTGGCCAAATTATTCGAGTATAACCTGGTTTGGGTCAGTTTACGCTGTTTTATAATCCGCTTCGCGGATTATAAAGCGTAAACTGACCCAAACCAGGTTATACTCGAATAATTTGGCCAAGAATTAGAGTCATTCCTAAAATAAAAGCATAATTTTTCAGCGTTGTTTGTTATTAAGGTCAAGATCTAGTAAATGACTTTAGACTGTCTTTTTGGTGCTAGATCCATTTTGACGTCATAATTGATTTAAGCTTAATTTTTCCCGTACTTTACGGCTGTAATAGAATTGTGTAGAAAATGAACCATTTTCATTGTATTCAATTTAAAATCATGTCAAATGTAACCCCGATATATATATTCAGTTTAATATCATTTTGAAGTAGAGGTTAAGAAGAAACGAAAAGCCGTTTTCTGAGAGACTGTAGGCAATATTGATACATTTCTTTAATCGGAGATGAAAAAAAACTCCGAAATTTATACCTGACTCTCTTCGTTTTTCATTAAAAATTACAGTTTAAAATATATTTTTTCATCTAGTTTATCAAAAAATTATGTCCCGAAACACCTTATTTTTGCAAGCTATATTTGTATAGGATCATTTAAAGAACTCGTTTCTCAAATTTGAAAAATCTGTAGGCACCTTTCATTTAGTAGATCTTGACCTTAAGTATATGGCATGTCAAACATAGCGATATTCGATCCATTTGTATATTAAATTATGGGTCATTGTTTTGTATATTTCACATTTTGTAATTATGTATATATTTATTTTTTATTTGTATTTTTTATTGGCTGTAGAGCTATAGATCTCTGGGAAATAAGAATCGAACAAACTCAGGAGGTATTGGTAAGTATATGTCCGATTATTTCCCAGAGAGCTACTGTTCTCAGCTAAAATTCAATACATTTGTCCATTTCTATTGTACTCTTCACATTTCAATTCTATTAGTGTTTTTTTTCTTGATTATTTTTTTATATGCATTGTATAATTTACTATATTCATTCTTTAGAATTGTCCATTTCTAATGTATATTTCCTTTTTGGTATTCAATAATTGTCTTTCTCTGTTTTGTTATTTGTATTATTTACGTTTCATTAATATAACTTTTGAATTCTATGATGTTTCGACTTTTATTGTAAATGGATACCTTTTGTATTTGATTAAAAAAATTATTTGTATTCTATACTTTGAAGAATTTATATCAATGGGAAATTATATGTACAAATAGAAATCTGACCGTTATATAATAATCAAATAATAAGCATCAAGACAAACAGCTACATTTGTAATAGAGTAGGACATTTATAGAACACAAATATTAAAGATCAAAACATTTGAATATAGAATATGGATCTATTTAGAAAGGGGTGTGATAAAAGTTGCAAAATATTTATTTCTTTCCTTCCGATACGTTGAATGTACCTTTACCTCATGGGGGACAAATTAGGTTTCACTTTTTCAACAAAAAAAAGTGCACATTTCCCTTCTTTAAATAAAGTAGAATTTTTTTCTGCAATGCAAAAATTGCGAAATTTGTATAATTTTTAATACAAGACAAACATTTTTTGACGGTTCTAAGAATAGCGTTGACAATGATTGGAATTCCGGGATGATGCAGAAATTTTCCATTGCGTAAATTGTTCCTTCCTCATTACCTATGTTGTTTTGAAGTTATTTTAGACTGTCCTACCTGTGGATTTACCAACACATACCTGAGTAAACATGTATGCACATTACCACGGTTGAACTCAGGTATTTACGTTGTTTCTTATCATATCGTTTTCTAACTTTTCCCTTTATCAATATTGGATTGAACACACTATGATTACTCTGTTAAAATGAAAAATGTCATCGTCAGACGAAGAAGCTGACGCTTCTGGACTCTTTTGTATTCATTGTAACGAGGATGAAGTGAAGTGGAAGTGTGATGACTGTTCCCGCGAATTCTGTGACAAATGTAAACGTATACACCTGATAGCAGACGAGGAGACCCAAAATCACCACTTGTTTCGATATGGAAGTAGCCGTTCTTCCGGTCCAAGGTTGCCGGATGTCATACGCCATCCTGCACGGTCTGTAAACGAAATACGGCGACCAAGGATAAGATTTCAACCTACTGTTAAATCACGTATCGCAGATTTTAAGCCTAGGTCGGATTTTGTAGAAAACAGCACTATACAACATATAAGGGTTGTCCCCAGGGGAAACGGCGAGGCCTGGTTAAAATGTGGAGCTATTTCAGAGGAAGTAGTGTTACACGACAAGGATGGGAGCTTTGTGGACAAAGTGCATGTGGGCGGCGTGATCCAGGACTTTGTGGTCACAAGAAAAAGGGAGATAATATTTACTAAAATGAATAGCAATACCGTATGGCTGTATTCCAAGAGGGCCGAGATAAAACCTTTACATCAGTTGTATTTCTTTCCGAACTGTTTGTGTCTCACTCCGGAGAACGACCTACTAATCTGCGCAGCGTCGACCCAGCAATGTCAAGGACGTCCAGTTATGAAGCTCTCCAGATCCTCGGAGAAAAGCGTTATTCCAGTTGATCAAAGAGTGAAATTGGGTGATATTTATAGCTTGGCACAGTCAGCCAATGGAACAATATGCTTAGTAGAGAAAGGAGGCTGGGGTCCGGGAAGAGTTATTGGACTTAGCAAAGATGGTCAGCAAATATTTGAATACAGAGGTTCCTCTGGTTCTCTGAATCCTTCTGGGATTTCATGTGACCCTTTTGGATTTATCTACATTAGTGACTGTGGTTGTCACAACGTACACGTGATAAGTCAGTCCGGTGAATTCCGAGCCTTCTTACTTCCGATGGATTCGATTAAACTTCCGGAGGCCATAGATGTGGGCGAAGATGGCGTTCTTTGGGTTGGAAATGGACATGGGGAAATCAAGGTTTATGAATTAAAATCTGACTCCAGCCAATAGCAAAAGTGCTAACATAAGGAAATTTGGTTCGTACACACGAGAAAAGAAAAATTAACATCAATGTGTATGATGATTGAATAAGGACACCCCCCCCCCTTGGAATTTGCCGAGTTGTTAAAAGTATATACAGAAGCAAATAAAAATGACTTTGGAACACACCCCCCCCCCCCCGCCCCCTAGAAAAAGTGGACCACGTCATCACTGCCACGAAATAGGTTTTTTCACGTGGTTTTGGAAATGGAATTTGTTGTTCTTGTTTTTTTCGGTTTGTCTTTTAGGGGGGGGGGGGGTTGGCTTGTCAAGAAATTTTCTGAGTTTAATACGTTTGTAAATGGAATTAAGGTGTTTTGTTTTGTTTTTTGTTTTTGTTTTTGTTTTTTTTTTTTTTTTGCTTGTCAAGAAATTTCTGGGTTGGAAATTTTCCGCGCCTGAGCTACTTATTAAGAGTGTCCTGCTTTTGTAAATTCTCAGTATCTGCTTACCTTATATTTATCTGAAATACATGTATATGTGTGAAACATGTTACATATATGAAACATTCCTGATTATATACTTCAATAAAATATATTATTGAATTCATGAATTTTGATTTTAGTAGTGAGGTTTATGCTTCTTTCCAACATTGATTTGTTTATCCACGGAAATATTTTATTGTTTTCTTTCCCGAGTACTAATCCCTGGCTTTTCACAACCAAGATAGATTTGTTCCGGTTAGGACGGGGTAGTTGAATTGAAACCACTCTGTGAGTCCATGTACAGACAATTTATCCTCTAGGTATCACCTTTTGCTATTGATTATATCCACGTTTATTCTCGTTTAACCAGAATTATTATACATGTACTGATTTTCCCCTTTAATACATAAGATCATTATATGTGAGTAATTCCCTAGAAATCGCTATGAATGGACTAATCCCCGTTTTGCCACGGCCGTGCGTTAGTCAAGTGAGCAGATCCCTGCTTCGAAAGCTAATTCCCGGTTATCCGCAATCCTCTAAATTTTACTTTTGTATCGGTATAATAAAACAGCCTGAAGTTATATTAGTCAAGTGAACCAATCAGTGCTTAGAGAGCTAATTTCAGTTTATCTGTAATCCTTTAGATTTTACTTTTGCATAGGTATAATTGCTAGCGCTCTCGAGCGCTAGCAACTACGTTAGTCTATATTTCTGGAATACGCATGCTCGACTTTACGGTCGGGCATTCTGGGAAAACTACTGAAGATAGACTGTACGATGATAATTTCGTTTTATCATAAAAAATTGATATGATCCGAATTCTGAATTTCTTAATTTATTGTCTAACCTATGATTAAAAGTACAAGAAAATTTGGGTCATATAATGCCAAGGTTGTAGAGATCAACAGGTAAAACCTAGCTTTCCTTAAAACTAACCATGTATACTACCTTCCTACATAATTCCGGCAAGCTCAGAGAAAAAAAAAACAGGAAATCTTTCAGAGTTTGTCAGAAAGACACGAGAAGCGATTGATACAATGCAGTAGCACTGATATAATTATAATTCTTTAATTTTTCATTTTTCCTTTTTTGACGGAAAAGCCCGAGTAATTATGATCCGATTGTTATTGCTAGCGCTCTCGAGCGCTAGCAACTACGTTAGTCTTTTTTACTGGAATTACGTATGCTCGACTTCATGGTAGGCCATTATGGGAATACTACTGTAGATAAACTGCACCATTTCAATTTCGTTTTTTAATCTGAAAATACATATGATCTGAAGTTTCGCGTTTTGTTGTCTAATCTTAAATAAATGTACAAAGGGTAACAGTAAATGCCAAAACTGTACAGATCAGTTATAGTTTCTAAAATTATAATATTAAAAAAAAACCTAGCTATTTTTAACTATCTTCCTGGATCTTTCCGGAAAGCTCGGAATAACAATCTCGGATATGTTTTCCGAGCTTGCCGGAAAGGCCGAAAGGATGCGATTGCTACAAAACAGTACCAAACTGGAATATTTTTAGGTCACCTGAGTCACTCAGGTGACCTATTGCTATCCGTTCTCGTCCGTCGGCGTGCGTCGTGCGTCGTGCGGTGTGCGTCGTGTGTTAACATTTGAACATTTTTAGCTTCTTCTCTGAAACCGCTTAACCAATTTCAACCAAATTTGGCATATAGCACCTATGGGTGAAGGGGAACAAATATTGTGAATTCCATGGTCCCTGCCCCCCTGGGGCCTGAGGGGTGGGGCTAAAACCACCAAAAATAATGCAATCTTTAAAAATCTTCTTCTTTACTCCTGGACATCAAGCAGTCAAACTGTTGGCATCATTGTAATAAGCATTGAGTCCTCTACCAAAATTGTGAAATTCATGGCCCCAGGGTCAGGGGTTCTGGTGCTAGGGTGGGGCTATATAGATCATATAGGGAAAGTGCATTATTTCTTTGAAAATCTTCTTCTCTGCTCCTGGGTATTAAATAAACTAACTAAGTACATAGTTATGAAGAACAAGAGTGCCTCTTTCAAAATTGTGAAATTCATGGCCCCAGGATCAGGGGTTCTGGTGTTAGGGCGGGGCTCTATTGATTATATAGAGAAAATGCATTAATTCTTTGAAAATCTTCTTCTCTGCTCCTGGGTATTAAATAAATTTACTAAGTATATAGTTATGATGAGCAAGAGTGCCTCTTTCAAAATTGTTAATTTCATGGCCCCTGGGTCAGGGGTTCTGGTGTTAGGGCAGGGCTCTATTGAGTATATAGTGAAAATGTATTAATTCTTTGAAAATCTTCTTCTCTGCTCCTGGGTATTAAATAAAGTAACTTAGTACATATTTATGATGAGCAAGAGTGCCTCTTCCAAAATTGTGAATTTCATGGCCCCAGGGTCAGGGGTTCTGGTGTTAGGGCAGGGCTTTATTGATTATATACATTAGTTAAAATGCATTAATTCTTTGAAAATCTTCTTCTCTGCTCCTGGGTATTAAATAAAGTAACTTAGTACATATTTATGATGAGCAAGAGTGCCTCTTCCAAAATTGTGAATTTCATGGCCCCAGGGTCAGGGGTTCTGGTGTTAGGGCAGGGCTTTATTGATTATATACATTAGTTAAAATGCATTAATTCTTTGAAAATCTTCTTATCTGCTCCTGGGTATTAAATGAACTAATTTAGTACATAGTTATGATGAGCAAGAGTGCCTCTTCCAAAATTGTGAATTTCATGGCCCCAGGGTCAGGGGTTCTGGTGTTAGGGCGGGTCTCTATTGATTATATTGTTAAAATGCATTAATTCTTTGAAAATCTTCTTATCTGCTCCTGGTTATTAAATGAACTAATTTAGTACTTAGTTATGATGAGCAAGAGTGCCTCTTCCAAAATTGTGAATTTCATGGCCCCAGGGTCAGGGGTTCTGGTGTTAGGGCGGGGCTCTATTGATTATATAGTGAAGATGCATTAATTCTTTGAAAATCTTCTTATCTGCTCCTGGATATTAAATGAACTAAGTTAGTACATATTTATGATGAGCAAGAGTGCCTCTTCTGAAATTATGAATTTCATGGCCCCAGGGTCAGGGATTCTGGTGTTAGGGTGGGGCTCTATTGATTATATAGTGAAAAGGCATTAATTCTTTGAAAATCTTCTTTTCTGCTCCTGGGTATTAGATAAACTAACTTAGTATATAGTTATGATGAGCTAGAGTGCCTCTTTCAAAATTTTGAATTTCATGTCCCCAGGATCAGGGGTTCTGGTGTTAGGGCAGGGCTCTATTGATTATATAGTAGAATTGCAATAATTTTCTCTGCTCCTGGGTATTAAGTACATAGTTATGAAGAACAAGAGTGCCTCTTTCAAAATTGTGAATTTCATGGCCCCAGGGTCAGGGGTTCTGGTGTTAGGGTGGGGCTCTATTGATTATATAGTTAGAATGCATTAATTCTTTGGAAATCTTCTCTGCTCCTGGGCATTAAATAAAGTAACTTAGTACATAGTTATGATGAGCAAGAGTGCCTCTTCCAAAATTTTGAATTTCATGGCCCTTGGGTCAGGGGTTCTGGTGTTAGGGCAGGGCTCTATTGATTATATAGTAGAATTGCATTAATTCTTTGAAAATCTTTTTCTCTGCTCCTGGGTATTAAATAAACTAACTAAGAACATAGTTATGGTGAGCATGACTGCCTTTTCAGAAATTGTTTCATGGCCCTTGGGTCAGGGGTTCTGGTGTTAGGGATGGGCTCCATTGATTATATAGTAAAATTGCATTAATTCTTTGAAAATCTTCTCTGCTCCTGGATATTAAATAAACTAAGTACATAGTTATGATGAGCATGGCTGCCTCAGAAATTATGAATTTAATGGCCTCTGGGTAAGGGGTTCTGGTGTTAGGGCGGGGCTTTATTGATTAGATAGGGAATTGGCATGAATTCTTTCAAAATCTTGTGTGCGCCTGGGTATTTTTCGAACAAAGGAAGTGCATGGTTATGATAAGGAAGAATGCCTCATGGCCCTTGGGTCAGGGGTTCTGGTGAGGGGGAAAGAGCTCTATTGATTATATATAGTGAAAATGCATAATTTCTTTCAAAATATTTTTTCTACTACTGGTTATAAAGTAAAGAAACAAGTGTATAGTTATAATGAGAAAGGGTGCTTCTTCCAGAATTGTGAGTTCATGGCCAATGGGTCAGATGTTCTGGGTAAGGATGGGGCTTTATTTATTTAATATTATGGTGAAAATGCATTTCTTTGAAAATCTTCTATGCTTCTGGGGATGTTCAAGGCAAACAGAGTAAAAGTTTTAATATGCAAGGGTATTTTTACCAGATTTTTGAACACCTGGACCATTTAGTCAAGTGTTCTAGTCCTGGCAAGGGCTCTATTAACTTGTATTCTGCTGAGCAAAGTTATTCCCCTTTGCCATTCACCTTTGATAATTAATCAATGTAAATAATGTATTTGAAAGCTTAATAGAATAAGAGAATTATGCAAGATAATTTATTGTATAATGAAAATGTACTTTCATAGATTTAATGACTTGGAAAGT